GGGTTTAGGGTTTAGGGCAGCAGTGGTTTTTGCCTATTGGCTTTGTCGGGGTATGGGCTTTAAGGGGTCATCGAACTCTGAAAACACTCTGAAACCAATGCCCATGCCAAACCCAGACGAACGGCCTGGGAGGCTTTTTGTAGCGGCAGGGGTAGAGGATACATACAGGGCCTACATACTACAAGTACAAAATGTAGACAAGGATTTGTGCCATCTTCTAGTGCAACTGTATTCGTAACTTTAAGGAAGAAGCATTTTCGGATCTGATGGGTGGAGCCACCAAAGATCTGCCACGAGTTGCACCCAAAGTTGGAGGGAGCTAGAAAGAAGCCAAACGGGGTCCACTAAGCCCTAACCCTAAACCCAAAACCCTAAACCCTAAAGCCCTAAACGCGCTAAGGGTTCAAGGCATAGGGTGATCCTTTCAGGACTCCTTAAAGGGGTTCGACAAGGGTAGCCGTAGGGTGTGAACTGCCAGGGCTTAGTTTAGGAGCCTCAACATTAGGGTTTAGGGTTTAGGGTTTGCGGGTATGGACTTTTGCACGGATTCTGCTACCCATTATGCCCGCTCCTAGATGAGATGTTGATTAGGATGTGAGCGCAGCAATGACCTCAACCCTAAACCCTAAACCCTAAACCGTGGAATGACCTCAGGCAGTCCCAAAAGTCGAGTTGCACGCCAAAAACCCAGGGTCCAAATTAGGATCCCTTTTTAGGTCCCCAACATAGTGCGGCACCCTTATAAAAGGACCCTCAAAGGGACCCGAATTTGGAGAATTACCCATATTGAGAATTCACAAACCCCTCCTTACATCACAAGAATCCACCTAGCCATTCATCAAAATACGAGATCTGAACCCTGAACTGAAACACTCCAACCTAAGCCCTAAACCCCTAAACCCTAAACCCCAAAAACCTAAACCCCTAAACCCTAAACCCTAAACCCTAAACCTCAAACTCCATAAACCCAAACCCCTCAACCCTTGAAACCCTGAAGCCCTAAACCCTAAACCCCTAAACCCTAAACCCTAAACCCCATAAGCGCTAAACCCTAAACTCCATAAACCCTAAACCCCTAAGCCCTAAACCGGCCTGGGTTCGACTTGGCCAAAGGCCCCGGCCTCTGCGGCTCTGCGCCTCCCGCAGAGCAGGGCAGGCTCAGAGTTCAGGAGGCGTTCATAGGCTTCCATTCAAGAGATCCTTTAGGGTTTTTAGGGTTTAGGGTTTAGGGTTTAGGGGTTTAGGGTTTAGGGTTTAGGGTTTAGGGTTTAGGGTTTAGGGTTTAGGGTTTAGGGTTTAGGGTTTAGGGATCCTATAAAAAAATGTGTATGTATATATATATATATAATATATACACACAGGTTTAGAGTTTAGGGATCCGTTAGGGTTTAGGGTTTAGAGATCCTTTAATATAAGGGTGCTGTAATGACTTCTGTGAGAGAGATGCTTCAAATTGAAGGGTAGTGTAAGGACTTCCGCATAAAGGTGATACACGGGCTCTGGGTTCCTAAAGCCCAGAAGCAATTGTTTAAACCCCTCAGGACGCCACCGCGTGGAGTCTTTGTCAACCTTTCAGGTTTATGTTCAAGGTGCGGTATCGGTGGAGGACTGCTGTTCCTCG